CATCTGATATTAATCAGATACATTATGTTAAGACCTGTTAGTAGTCTCCATGTTCTTCTATAGGCTTGCCATAAGGTGTTTAACACAATAGTTCATATAACACATGACACTACGGTAGACATACTAAATACAATGTTAACAACATAATTACACCATGTGTTTTTACAGACACTTCTACATAATCTACCGGACTGCATATGACTTCATATTAACAATATCATATAAAAGAGCTTATACCTGTACCTCAACTGATGTAGAGAACATGTATATACCATCAGGTGGGTATAATATCTCAGTCCAGGTAACAGCTGTTTAGGCACATAAAAAGTGCCTCATATGCTTAAAGCAGCATTATGGAAAAATTAGATAAAGAGATGACAGTCCTCGCTATAATAGTTAAAAAATAGATAATGTAAAAGGACTATGCTGAAAATTTCAGTCAAATTATTTCACTCTGAACCGAGAAATTCTCATTTCAATAACACTGTAGCCTCGATTGTCATTGTTACTGTTGTTACAATAATAAACAAAGTCTTCATTTTTACAGTTGATCATCAACTACCGTTGAACCACAGATCGGACTCAAATATTTTTAACACTGGACCCATCAGATGGCATCGAGAGTTGATTATGGTTTTGTCAGTAATAAATGTCTAATACTGTAGTTTACATAACATTTACGGCCTAAAGAAATACCTGCAATAGGCAGATTTAGCTCTTGCATAATGCCTGATTAAGTTAAGATGGTTTTAATGCAAAGGTGAGAAAAATAAACCAGTATAAATATAGCAGATCGCTACATTTGTACCTGTGTTGTCTTATAATTGCCAGCTTCCCATAGCTTTTTGGTGTATGGTTTTGTGGAAATTTGCAGTTTCAAGTAGAATATCTAAAACCTCTGACCGTGGCTGTCAGAATAGTTAAGCTGGTTTAGCTTAAAGTATATATTAACACTACAATCTTCTGAATTCAAGAAGCCAGACATCAGGCACCATATACAGGTTTGGCCAGGCATAGTTCTTCTGGTGCACAGATTTGTTTTTATGTGTGTTTAATCAAGTTTACTACATCATGTACATGTACATAGTCTGGCACAAAATTCTAATTTTGAGGCACCAGTTCATTAATGCCTGACATTTTGTTAAGAACAACTAAAATCATTATTTCCATGCCTGGATTATACATTACATGTACATTGTTTATTTATGGTACTTTTAAAGTAGAAATCATCTGATCATTATTTTGATCAAAAATCATATTTATGTTCACTTTTTATTAAATGCTGCTAGAAAAACGTCCTTTTAAAATAAGAAATATTTTCAATATTGGGAGTACTGTTAACTGTGTAGACTGTGAACCTGCATAGGAATGACACGAACAATATGACATGATACATGTCATTAAATGTAAATGTTATGAAAAATAATAAAAAAAACAATTAAAAATACTAATAAGGTCAATTATATACTTGAATAAAAAGCAAAAAACATTAAAGGTAAAACTGGGACATGTACTAAAATAATACATAATGGTAAATGTTTTAAATTAAACACTTGTTGATCAGGACTAATTTTTCCATTAAATATTAAAAAGATCAAAAGAAAAAAAATTATTTTAACGCAAAAGCAGAAAATTGATAATTTAATGGGCAAAATGGAATCTTTAGGTGAAACAAGCTTTTCACAAAAGAAACGATAAATTATCAAAAATGTTTTCAAACTTCCAAACTGTTGCATAGCATAGCACAAGAAAATTATTTTTTGACAATAGAATAGGCCTTTATGATTAATAAATTATTAAATAATATTAGCTGAGTGACATCTGTTAATATGTGCAATGAAGAGATGTGACGATAGAATGATGTTTTTGTTTAAACTAGATATGATATTATGGTATGGTGAAGGTGAGTTGATTGTTAGAATGCAAGATCTCATATGCCACCTGGTGTGTAATGTAAAAACCTATGATAGTCAAGATGTTATCCTTATCTTATGATCCTACATGTATTAATATTACACTTTAAGTAAAACGAAATGGAATTGAAATTCTCATTTTGACACTAACTTACGGCCTAACTGCTAACAATGAGGTTGATGTCATATTGATCTTTTAAAAAAGCAAGAGAGAGAGAAATTGGATTTAACGTCCACTTGACACAAACAAGGTCATTTCGGGACTAACATGGTTCAATTTTGTTTCCATAATTCGCTTGCGAGTAGGGGTCTTTAGCAGTGGGAGGAAACCGGAGGACTCGGAGAAAACCCACGAGGTTGGACAGGCGACCCTAATACTTGTCACGTACAACCAGGGATTCGAAACCACGCCAGTTGACTCAATGACAGACTTTATGATACAGCGCGCACATGCTAACCATTAATTCATCCAACCCATTTTTTTTTATCTATTTAGCCTAAGCAGAAAATGCTCACCATCGAACTCATCCAAGATATTCACATAATGGATATCTACAATGTACACTAAGTTTGAATACACTACCTCAATTAAAATAGAAGCAGGGTTATTTTGTTTCAATAACCGGATGGTCGATGGACAGTGGTTTAGCATAAGCAGAAAATATTCTTTATCGAACTCAGTCAAGATATTCACCTCATGAACATCCTACCAAAGTTTGAACATTCTACCTCAATTACAACCAGATGTTACAAGATGGTGCTGTCAGGAATCAAACCTGTGACCCCGGGCATTGAATCCAAACACCTTTACTGAGTGAGTCAAACATAATCCCCTCCCCCAACACACCTACAAGACCATAATCAGTATAACTTGAGATTGAGACACCACAGTATAGATCAATCTAGCTGTACCCAGATATACATGTACAAACAATCATACATGTATAGCACACACAGCATACTTACCTCCCTGCTAACCTATTTTCTTAGTCCCCTGCTTTGGGTGAAAGGTGTGGAGCAGGGACAAAAATACCCAAACTAATAAGACATGTGACGTTAAAAACACCTGGTCAAGCCAATACAGGGCCAGTTGAGTTCTGGTTAGACTTGTAAAGCCCCATATTTTATGCAATGTAAACTCATTTTTGCATTCATTTCTACTGGCATCAGTACTTTTACTTATAATTTTGAAGATGATGCATTCAGATTGTGCTGTGCAGGTGTGTGGCTAATTTAGCTGTGTATTGCAGCTTTACAACTTAAAACAATACAGCACAACAGACAAAAAGAGGACCAAACTAGCCTTGATTACGTGTAAACACAGCTTACATGTATGTTTAAGTAGACTAAGAATAAATATGAAGAATATAAGATATATTTGGGTTTTATCTATAAGATATATTTAAGTTATATCTATCAGATATCTGGTGTAAGCCTATATAATGACAACTTCTTATCACGAATTCTACCCAACACTATAGATTACCACGATCAGTATATAATACATAGCAAATACCACACAATAGATATTCTATCAAGATTTATATCATTATGCATTGTAATTGTTATATTATACAAACTATTAACATTATATGCAATTGTACGGCATAATATTCAATAAATATTTCTTTTCATGCAACATGAAATTACAAGACATTTCAATCTTCATTCATCTTATTCTTGACAAGCTAAATGTCAATATAGTGGTGTACAAACTCGATTTTCAGGTCTACAAATCTATGGATGTACATTTATAAAAAAAAATCTTGCTTTTGCCCCAAAATTTCAGAACACTGATTGACAAAGTTTTATTTTCCTGAAAAGTCACACATTTTTCATACTTTTGGAAGAATTGTAGCCCCTCTAAAACCTCTCATACATGTCTATTCATTCATGTACATGCTTTCACTTTAATCACAGCTTAGTGCTAGCAAATAAAACAAACTAAAAAGATGCATTAAATGTACTGTGATGTAGGAATTAAGAGTTTGTGTTTAAAACTGTAACAAAACAGGTTTATTGTGAGTAGCAACAAAAATATTCCATAGACAAAATCTATATAATATATATATGTATTTGGGACAGTCATGTTAACATGTTTAAATGTATAATATATACAATGTACATGTATAAATAATTGCATTGAAAATTGGATACATATATCTATTTAAAATGTCTTCTTTTTATAAACTGTGATTTTTTTTTTTACATTTTTCATTTAAACATGATTTCTCCTTTATAACATGATTTGTTTTTCCTTTATAAACATGATTCTTTCTTATTTTTTTAAACATGATTTTTTATTTTTTTTTAAGCATGATTTTTTTTTTCTTTGTTAAACACAATTTTTTATCTTTTTTAAACATGATTTTTTTTTCTTTTTTAAACATGATTTTTTATCTTATTTTAAACAATTTTTTTGTGGTTTTTTTTGTTATAGGCCTACTACTTGGATACCAGTATCTACGAAGTTGGATTTATACAAATAACTTTTACCGGTAGGCCTTGGAGTAATAATTAAGGGTATGAATGAATGTACCTCTAGAAAATTATAATATATCTCTCTATTGTCATTGATTTTAAAATATTCTATCTCTATTGATCTTTAAAGAAAAGGTAAACATGGGCTTGAATTGGTATTTATTATTGGAAAAGTTTTTAATTACCAATCCAGTTGGTCTCTATATTTTTTCTATTCTCTCAAAAACTGTCTAAACGTTTTTCCACCTGTAAACATTATTGATAAATTTAGTATTTACCGGATCCGCCCAGTTGAGAGTTAATGATAACATGTTCTTAACAATAATAGTATATTGAAACTATTTCAACACCTTGACCTATATACACATCCAAATAACTTTCATTTCAGACATTGCCAAAGCTCAGATTTAACTTTTTTGTCAAGAGACAACCTGCAATTAGTGAAATATCTCATAACATTTGTAAAGAACGTGTCAGACTCGACAGGTTAAGAATAAACTGAACTCTTCGACAAGTTTCGGTATTTTGATCGTTCGTTTGTTCAACACGTGAAAGTCATCCACAAAAATCTTCTCAAAAAAAAGTTACAAAACTAAAATGTCTTACCTCGAATTGGCATCGTACTCCACGGCTGTAATACTCCTTGTATAACAGATAGTCTTAGAACTCCTGAAACCAATATTAGTAGAAGTTTGTGAGAGAATTCCTACACACAGACCGTGTTCGATACTTGACGTTTACTAACGATACGCTACCATAACACACACACACCGAATAGCTCAGACACCATCAGGGGCAGGTAACTCGTGATTAAAAACGGGTGCGAGTCGTGTTTAAGACGTTTTATAAGTTTCCGTTTTTACTGTTCTACAAAGTTTAAATAGAAAAACTATCTGGCACGCTTACCAGCTGACCAATACGCATACACGGGACGAGAATAAACGTTAAGAAAGGTCAAGTTATTGGGGGAAAAACACGTGAGTAATAGAAAGCACGAGTGTATGATAAAAACAAATATATAATGTGACTATAAAAATATAGAATCTATAAACAATACATAAAATTAATTATTTTTTTCAGAGATTTATTCAGAGATATGATTCATCCATCATTAATTTAATGTGTATGTCACTCAAAAATGTCCTAACCGGCCCGTGACTTTTTCTCTTTTTTTTATGTAGGCTTGTTATGGATGCAGGTAGGCCTATATAGTTCGCTGCTTTGTACATATTTCGTATATTATACATTTCGTTTGTATCCCCATAAGAATGATAATTAATCTTATTCTACGTACATAATAATGTTCCAAACTGATTTTTGCAATCTTTGTAGGGTGAATTGTGCCGTTACACCAAAATAAAGGTTAAATATAGAATTTAAAACAGTAGGCTACACAATCAAAAATATTTTACTAAAACAACACTTAATTTTCAACAGTTATTCAGATTTATTAAAGGAGGCAAGTCATTGACTTAATATAATCCACAGTCTTCGACGTTGTCAATTTAAATCAGCATTGGTGTTGTGATCTTACCTGGAAAAGATGGGCTTCTGATATCCAATATTTAAGACAAAATAAACATTTTACCATTGCCATTGGTACACGAATCGTGTACCATAATGCGTTTCAGCGCCATTTGTAACAAGGTGCTCAAAGAATGAGGCTAGACATATTCTATGTCATGTCAAACGGTGATATCATGTTCTTATTTGGAGAGCATGCGCAATAAATAATATCGGTGTTGACTGGAATAACCAGAGCTAGAAACTGACTTGCGGTTGAGACTTCTGGCGTATTTCGCCGAACATAACTGATGACAATTCACAGTAAAACGGACACGATTGAATGTAAAACAGTTGATATAAATTCATATTACATTATTATATGTGTTGCGACCCATTTGTGAAAATTTCTAGGTCCAAAATATTAGTGATTTAGCTCCTTTGAATCAACATGGTTGTTGTTATCTTACCGTGAAAAGATGGTCGTTTGATATCCAATATTTAAGACAAAATGAAAATTTTAAAATTGGCACACGAATCGCCCGCCAGAATTCTTTGGAGCTCAATTTGTAATGGAGCGACTCGATGAAATATCCCACAGGGTAGAATACTACCGGTGTAGACTGGAATAACCAGACGTCAACGACTGCCATTCAATTTGGACCCTTCGCGTAGTACGCCGAACATTTCTAGGTGCCAAAACGAATTATAACTTAAATTATGACCATACATTTGCTGTTCGGGCAAAATTTTCTTCAGAGCTTACTGCGTGGCGTGTGTTTCTTTTCATGAGCCTGGCTGGTGCACCGGTTCACCATTGCAGTCGGGGCAGAACATAGGACGTTAACCCCATTTCATTTCATTTCCAGCTTGTGCAGAAACTCCGATTTAAAAATTTCATTCACTAAGAATTGTGATGATTGACAATATTTTACATAGAACATTCTTGACCCATCCTATCGGACCGTAATGATTAATTATTGCCCCTATTGACCAAACCCCACACATTTATAATTACAAAAAAATAGACCAGAAATGTTTGTTGCTTTGATGGAGCATGACCAAAACAAAATTTTCGGTAACTGAAGAAAAAAAACCCAATCGACATGAAAATAGCGTTGCCTGGGTAAAAAGGTCGTTTATGAAAAAATAATATTATTTTATTGTGCTGTTATTGATACCAATTACTCTAAACTGAATTATGATCCTGCGCATTTCCCGCCAAAATATAATTAAACAAGAAACATTGAAAGTCACCAAAACTCAGCACGTACGTGGAGATAATTTTCGCGCCAATTGGCACGCACTGTGGCACTGATCTGTGAAACGAGTATTAGCAACATGTGTAATACGTCATGAACACGTGTTTTATCAAATCTTCTGATAATACCTCCTCAGAAGACCCTTTCTCTCCATTCCTTGCTGAAATATTTGAAAACAGACCTAGTTCTTCATTTTCGCCTATTTATTTATGTTATATATTTGATGCTATGATCCACACAATTTAGCCCGTTGAACTCAAATTCTTTCCATCTACCTATATAGCCTATGAATGACTGGATTGGAAGTTCCCGAACCGTCGACACTTTACGCAGGTTGTTTCTGCGCTTTGTGTAACAAGTGTAATGTGAACCTAAACATGCCACTTTCCCTCACTCAAATATTACAAAGCGCGTGATGCCTCGTTGCTTCCTTATTTGATTAGAGCAGTGTGACATTTTTTTTTTCAGTCTAGTTAGTATTCTAAAAATTAAGTCCAAATAAACTACACTAAGAATCATTATTTAATTATCTTAACAACTGCTACATATCCGTTAACCAAAATGAAAAAAATATGAGGTTTAACGTCCTATTTTACTGCACCAATCTGGGTTTACTAAACAGTGTACTGTGAGGGACATTTTGCTCGGGCAGCGGCGTTTCCGCCTACTCTTCATCGAGTTTCAACTGCTGATTCTTACCAGGTCCACCTTCCTACTCCACTGACAAGGGAAACCACCCTGGAAAATCGCAAGGAACACTCTCGGCCGACATCTGACTCGAACCCTGTACCGCTTTCTATAAGGGATCCATTCACAGGGGCAGTGCATGTCATTCCAGGCTTATTTTGCACCAACAACAGAAAAGAAAACATTTATCACCAAATTCATTGAGTTTATTTATCTATATTATCTACATTAGGGAGCCACTGTAGCTCAATAACCAGGTGGTTGGTGTTCCATCCCGGTGTGAACCGAGAAAGCCTTGATTCATATAATATATCTGTATTGTTTATTATTTGTAGCTTTATCATCTTGTATATACTAGGTTATCATTTATAGGATGGTTGTTATACATACACCCTGTTGTATACAGCTATTACTCATTGTAATCTTTTACTTTTAATTTCTGGGAGTTTCTGTTTATAATAATATAAAAAAAAATGAGTATGAAGAAAAAATCAGATTAATCCAATGTCAAGCTTTCTGCGTCGTTACATTCGACTCGGAAATATCCGTTTTCATGTTGAGGGGTAATAACCGAAACAGTTTATCACAAAATGTGTTGTCTATGTGAAATTATCAAAATGATTAGTGCTATGGTATTGCTGTCCATTTTCGCTTTAAAATGAACTTTTCTCACTATTTAGTTTATAAAAACACAGTGAACTATAATACATGCAAGGACGCAGGTAAGAGTGGAACAGGTAATAATGAGTCAGGTAAAAAGTATTAGGGTTTCAACCAAGTAGACTGGTAAAAAAGATTGGGGTGTTGTCATTCTTTAATAGAAGTACCATGTGTGGGGTTTTAAGCTTTGTTGGAGCTTTAATTTTGAGTTCCTTGAGTGTTTTGTTTTACCTTTCCAGACAGGATGATTTTGTTCACCGCCTGAGGAAACTGTAGGCTACTTGAAACCAAGCCTGTTTTATCTTTCAATCAATGAGTTCTGGTGTGGTCTGAATCATGTCCCAAGGTCGAGTTATTCTAACCTTCTATACTTTCTACGTTTTTATAAAATCGTTTAAACAGAAGGACTGGCAAACAATGAAAAAATAAACCACCTCAAGTCTTTCAGTAAAATGATTCAGATTTTACAAGAGGCTTGTCTGTAAAATACGATCTGTTCTGGGCACGAAACTACTGCAGAAAACATGTGCGAATAATTTACAGTGATCTGACGTATGTCAGAGATTAACAGGAATAAGGATTAACGTCTCGACAACCTATACTTCGGTAATTTGTGACTAACATACGTGTACAGTGCGAAGGTGAGAATTTGTCTCGACATCCGAGTTCTAAAAAAAAATTATTTAAAAACTTCTACTTTAAAAACGGTTCGGATGTTCAAGAATAGAATGTGGCGGGTTGGACTTCTGCAGTGTAACGTTAACAAACACCACAAACATGTAAATACATTTGTCTTGTGTGGTCCCCCAGTACTTACTAATAGACTGGGTCTGATGTTTTGTCGGTTAAATGCCTACAAAATTTCAAATTCTAAGCAAGACTAAAAGTAAGTAAGTAAATGGACAAGCTGTAAAGCTGCTACTATGCTGCCGTCGAGTTATTGTAATAGAATGCGCTAGAAGTACCAGCCGTTTCAATATGTTGGCATGGTTCCCAGAACGTGATGTTTCGCGTAAAATTGTATGTAGTGTATGAATGAATCAGTGTAATGAAGTATTGTTCTGATATGTAACACCGTATTTACTATTAGGGCGGGGTGTATTATAATACAAGTTTATGTTAGCCTATAGTCTGCCTACAGTGAAACAAAAGTAACATTGTACATGTGTATTTAGATTATCAGTCAGTGTGGTAGAGCAGTCGCGACACCAAAGGGGAGGGAGAGAGGGGTACCAATCCTAGCTATCCGATGGACATCAAAATTCAAAAATTAATTTATATACTTTTCGTTGAACTAATTTTCACCCTTTCTGGTCGGCGTTCCATTGGGTTAGGAAAATTTTGACAAATATAATTATGGTCTCACGAAGCAATATGGCGTTTATTTACAGCAACTCAAGATCACGTTGCCAAAACTCCGAAACTGAAATTTTACATAACAAACTGGAACCAAAAAGCTAATACCAATGATGTCAGATGCTTGGTGCTATGCTCAGATATCGATAGGACAGGGGTGATTAGAGAGCAACCCGCAGGGCATATCGGCCCAGTGGCCGACCGTATGGCCGTGCGCGGCTAGCATCATACCACCAAAACCACGATCGACCATACAGACCCGACGGCCACAATCGCGCGCATGGTGATGTTTC